CTTTTCCGCAGCGCTATAGCTCTATTGGTTCCCGAGTTATGCGTTGGCTTCTTGGAAATTTTCGACATTCGACCTGGAAATCGGCGAAATTTTGCCTTCAATGACCTCTGGTGACCTGACCTTTGACCTGAGCAAAAAATTGACCGAAGTGATTTCGTCATTATTTTTGATGCTCTTTCGAACGCCGCCTTCCGCGTATCGCTACGTAGCCCAGGAGCCGAGTTACTAGGGGGGGGGTGTTCAAACACCCCCCCCCCCCAGCAGGGCGTGGAAATCCAGGACCCCCAGCCGGGCGCGGGTTAACCCTCGCATGTGTGCGGCGTTTGCCAGCTTCTGTGCCTAGGGGGGGGGGGGTCGGTTGGACCCCCCCCTTGCCGTTTGGCCCCTGATTGAGCTATAGAGCTTCGCGGAAAAAACGAGCGTGTTGCCCGTGACGAGAGGAAGCCGATGATACCCAATTTTAAGTTCCTAGGTCATTGGGTGACCTTCCAGGTCAGGTCAATGACCCAAAGGTCGGAAAAATCGGGACCTAGGCTATTAGAAAGTCGTAAAGTGTGGCTTCTATGAGGTTTTCGGGGTGCTGATCACGAATATCGTGTTAGTTTTTATCACAGATGATGTCTAAGCATTAAGACCAGGTCAGATCAGGTCAGGTCAGGTCAACCAGTAGGGATCGTGACGGTATTCGTAGTGCGTGTCAACCGCCTCTGGCAGCTTCGTAACATGTTACGAAGGCACCAAAACTACTCCACAAATGTTCAAATAGTTGCTAAATTCGAATTCAGCTCCAAAAACTAGCCTAGAAACATGTAAAGCTCGAAAAATGAACCGAGGTTACCAAAGGTCAGTGACCTGACCTGACCTTCAGGTGACCTTGACATCCACCCAAATGCATGGGAGCAACATCAAATCACATGTTTGAACGTTTGAAACCACGAGAAGCTTGCAAACGCGCGGCTAATGTGAGCCGACTTACGCGGAATCGCGATTCCTGCCAAACATGGGTTCGAGAAATAGGTCAATGGTCAAAGGTCACTTGGGTCAGGGTCATGAAATTTTTAGAGTAGGTGTAAAATTGATCAACTCGAGGGTACTGAAAGTTTCGTCGTGATCGTCCGCTTTTTACGCGAGTTATTCGCGAAAAACCATGGGGGGGTCCATCCGACCCCCCCCCCCCACACCTACACATGCGAGGGTTAAAGCAAGTTTGTCATCATAAAAAGTGTTAGATTTTTATTTACCTATTCTAGAAAAACGATAAATTTTCATCTATTTCGTTCGCTGCGAGGAAACATTCACCTCGAATGCCCCCCCCCCCCCACACCCACCCCTGCTCTCAAGTTAAGCAATTTTAGTTTTTACAACTCCCGTAAAAATGATCCTGCCCCTATTGACGTTTGACCTGTGACCTCTTTCTCAAGACCGTTTCAGGCCAGAGCGGCTATTCAACACATGTCAGCGCATATCATTTGTGTGGTCATGGTTGACGTGACCAGACCTGCCTGACCCCACCTAACTCAAATGCATGATTTATCATGTTTGAAAAAAAAAATGCAATATTCGATAAATGTGATGATATTCGATAGCTGCTCTAGCAGCCAGCAGGACCCGATTTTTTCATATTTGGGTTATTGACCTGACCTGGGAGGTCTTTAAAACTTGAAACTTCAGCTCGTGCTGTGCTGGTGGTGTGAGTTTTCAATGTCGTGCTGGGGGAGGGGGCGCTTTCACGCCCCTCCCCCGTCTAACTCAGCTCCTGGACCCCGTAGCGACACGCGGCAAGCGGCATTCGAAAGAAGAGCGTCAAAAATCACGACGAAAATACTTCATTCATTTTTTAAGTCAGGTCAAAGGTCAGGTCACCAGAGGTCATCAAAGGAAAAGCATTGCCTTTTTCATTGTTTTTCGACAAACCGGCGCATAACCCGGGAACCAATAGAGCTACACCGCTACAGATCAGCGCATTTAATAGCTATTTTAACCCGGCGGCCGCTGGGCCTCCGCACCACCCGCCGGCCGCTGGGGGGGGGGGGGCATAGTTGCCCCCCTTTACTTCTGCGACGATATCGTCGCAACGCGAAGAGATAGAGAAACGAAACTTTGCACACACTTTTCTGAATACCTAGCCGAGGTTGTATCTAAATTTGGTGTCGATCTCATTTGAAATGACGTCACAGTGACGTCATAAGTCAAATTATAGATTTGCGACTCGCAGTTTCCTCATGATATATCATATACATGGGACCGAATATAAAGGGCCGATTATTGGTCAGGAACTAGATGGAAGTGCACTTAGATATTTTAGGATGACAGCAGGTGCTGTCTAACTAGTTCATTTACAGTTGAGTTTCATGCTCAGCGACATCAGATACGGTCCATATCGGAAAACGACAAAACTTTATGACGTCACTGTGACGTCATCTTAAGTGCTACAACCACCAAACTTTCCACGAATATTGCGTAGGTATTCACTTGAAGCTATGCCAAGTTTCACGTTCGTAGCTCATCAGGTTTCGGAGATATTCTACAAAATGTAAAGGGGGGCAACTTTATGCTCCCCCCCAGCGGCTCGTGGGTTAACCCTTTTTAGTGTGCATGTCCTCAGAATTGACTTTGGTTCATTGGTCAAGCCTTCAGAGGGAAAAATCCTAAATTAGCCTTTCTTACGAAAAATGTTTTTGGTAGCTAATAACTTCCACTGAAGAAAGGCGCGACATCGAATCTGCCAGCATCGTGCTCCTCTCGTCGGGACGCGTCGAATTAACTGTAACTTGACCTGGAAGGGTCATTTTAAAAATTTGACCTTGAAGTGTCCTTTTAAAAATTTGACCTCTGGTCAAGATCATTACCTGACCGGGAAGAGTCATGTTGCAGATGAGTGAATCTGTATCGTCGACCTGAACAGTGAACTCATTTAAAGGGACCCTCCCACCTTCAAAAATGTTAATGAATTGGCATGAAAGTGATGTCGCTCGGTTCAGAAAGAGCAAAAACGAATATCTACCAAATTTCATCGAAAAATATTCACCGGTTTTCAAGATATTAGACTTTTACTTTTGTTTACTTTTTGGGATCTCCGCTGTTCCTAGCGACTTTATTTGAAAGTGCGGCATTTGTTGCGCGCAAAGCAGCATATACCACCGCGTGCTACAAAACGTTTTAGTCAAACATTTAAAAATCGTTAGATATCCACGATGACGTCACACATTCAGAGGGGTATTCCTATGCATTAGCCCCTCTGAATCAAAATGCTGCAATTTTGAAATTCAATATTTCCGATTTAAGACATTTCTCGATGTTGTGAGTGCCGAAACCGGTAATTGTGAGCCAGGGACCCCATTTTGGCTATCTCAACTCAAATCTAATGTTAAGGTGGGAGGGTCCCTTTAAGCTGTTTTCATTGCTTTAGCATGTATCTATCAAAATTTATTGTAAAAAAGAACTCCTGGGGACCTTTCATGACCTGAGATGACCTCAGGGGTCATATGGGTGGCAATTTTCTGATTCAGTTTGTCATGTTTGTTACCCGATGTTTGAGTGTTTGGTTTGACTATCGTCCTACAGAGGCGCTTTTCAATTTTCTTCCATTGAATGTACTGAACGCGATCGTTCAGTCGATATTGCTATGGCGAGCATTTTGACTTTTTCTGAGATGAGATCACTTGAAGACTGAAGTGATCTGGTGACCTGAGCTTGCAGTACCCGGGTCTGAAACTTTCATAACATGTGCAGAAAAGATGTATGAAGAAAGTGTACCAAAAATGGTGGCGATGCACGCTGCTGTTCGCAAAAAAAAAAATTGAGGGGACGTACCCCCCCCCCCCCTGGCACGTTGCAGGTTAATTTGTATTTGATGGCTACTGAGTAGTGCCATACCTAAAGACGACGGTAAATTTACCCTTTGTGCTATATTTTAGTTCTGGGCGAGTGTTTTACAATCACAGCGTACTCGCCCCGTTGAGCCCAAGCTGTGTGACAATAGAATGGCTTGTGACGATTACGCAGTGCGAGGCTTTCCTTACGGGTTTCATCTCTCGTCCACCTTTGACTGGCTCTATAGGCATGAGCAATGCCTCTCTATATAAATTTGGCATTCTACAGGGGAAAACATCGTTTATCGAACCCAGCGGTCGGGATTAAGCTTGTATCGCCTATTGAAAGAGCGGGCATTTACCTAATAAGGAAGCGGCACGCCTTGCGGTGCAGTATATCTTCAGCGGTTTGTAGCTGGCGCCATATTTGGAAATAAATGTAAGCATACTAAAACGCAACACAGGCATTGGCTTTGAATAAAGTTACGAAGTGTTTCGTCGGCTTTGTGAAGCCTGTGAACTTCGTTCCGTCTAGCTAGCTGATCGAATTATTTTCTTGTCCTGTTCATTAACTCTTCGACACAATGCCGCAAGTGCAATTGTTCATACTAAATACCTGCGGGTAGGTAAGCTAAAAAAAATGTTTATAAAGGATTAAAGGTTGCACTTTACGCGCTATTTTCGGTCAAGGCTCTGGGCAAAAAAGATTGCGCACCGCTCATTGACATAAAACTACGCAGCACAACTTTAACCCACACCTACTCGTAGCATAACATCTTCTCCCATGCTCAATATGGTTCGTAATCCATAAGCCTATATATGGCCTTACTCGTAGGTACGGCCCTCCAGGTATTTAGTGGTTGGTTGCCAACATCACAATGAGCGATCTGCATTGATGAATTCGTCTAATGGCTGTTGAAAACCATTGCCGAAGTGCATGGCACGAATCCTTTCTCATTTCCATTGAGTCATTTTACAGGAGTGTCTCTGTCATTTAAAGTTATTACACCAAAAACACATAGGCTAACCAACCACTCTTTTGCTGGAGGGCCGTACAGGCAGCGATCACTAGTTATCATCGATTTTGAACATTTTAATATATGTTTTAAAGTTAGGCATGCGTCCTAACATGAAGAAGTGCACTTTGTATGTATCGTCCAACAAGAGTTCCGAAGCAAACGCAAATAATGTGGGATATGATACATTTTATTGAATAAAACGTCTTGCTAGTGTCTTTGGATACACCGCCCTTAGCGTCCTAAAATGCAGTATTATGGACTGGTTATTAGGCATCTAGGCCTACCGTATTTAGGCAAAACGGTAGCAAAAATGTACCGGCCACGCTATATGCTTATTGCTTATGTGTAGGTAGGTATGGTAGTTGGCGAACGACGAAGCCCCCACCGGCGGATCCACCCATTTTCAAATGAAGGGGCCCAAACCGGCCACTTTTTCGTCTCTACATAATGGATTGCGGGGTGTACTGATTATCCCCACTCCTCCTTGGGTGGTTGTTGTTTGTAACACATCGCGGCGAGTGGAGCGCCTTGTATGTCCCTTCCCTCCAATTCTGCATCTGGATTCTGGGCCACGTGGCGACACGCGGTAAGAGTAGTAGAAACATATAAGAAAAATCAGGGAAAAATTTTGCGATTAGGTCAAGAGGTCTCCGAGGGTCATCAAAGGTCTTCGGATTTTGACATAGGTATTGGGACCTTACTGAGACTAATTGTCTTTGTAAATTAAGTTTTATTTATTCATCTTACGCATATGTATGTCATCTTTTGTCAATTGTGGTGGAGAAGAGCTTTTAAAGGGTTCAGTTGTATTTGGAAAGGGAGGGCCAGATCACATTTTGACCGCTCCTAGGCCTGACTTTGGCCCGGTCACCCCTCCCCTACCCCTCGGTCCGCCAGTGGGTGTTCGTCAGCCAACTACTATTTGAAAAATATAAAGATAGTTACATAGAACATAGATAACTGAAATGTTGCTACCAGGCACAAACAGTTTCTTTGCAACTGCAAGACAGACGCCTCAACTACGGTCAAGGCACACAACCACTCGAGTTAACAGCACAGAAGCTGCATCACGCCATCAGCGGCGGGAAAGCACACTGCAGCTTTATTCCACCGCCACCAGGTGTCACTGCGCCGCGGCGGTGAGGGCCGCGGCCAGCAGCAGCAGCAGGCCGCCGACGGCCGCCGCCGGCGCCGAGTTGCAGACGTCCTCGTCGCAGAAGCAATCCCAGCCGGAGCCGATTTTCGAGTTGACGCGGATCTCCCAGCTGCAGCCAACCTTGTCGTCTTTGGCGATCTCCGCGCAGTCTCGGTTCACGTGTGACTTTCCATTCTCTGAAGGAAGGAACAACGCACGCACACGCGATAATTACAGCATAAGTTCAGCTAAAACGACATTTCCGTGACGTCATTTATGTACAATTGAATTCACGAATTTTAATGAACAGCTAAAACATTGCGAGGGACGCTGGCCCAGCAAAACAAATACCTAAATTTACAAATGATGGTAGAATCGCGATTGCAATGCGATTATGCGCCCTCGCAAAAAAGGCATTTATTCATGCTTGAAAGCCAAAAGCGGGACACTCCAAAGTTTAGGCCGTTCGTACCAGTGAAGGTGATTTTCCTGCAGAGCTGACGACTGGCGCAGGCCACCGTGTTGCGCTTGATGTCGGTCTCATTCATCGGGTCCATGCATTCCGGCGCGTCTTTGGTGGAGCACTGGACACACTTGAGCGCGCTCACTGGAAGGAACAGAAACGATATACATCAGATGCTGATCGCAGCATTCTCCGATATTTAAGGATGCACCGTTATACATAGGTATAGACCAGTGCATGGCGGCGAACATCGAAACCGCGTGTATCTTGTATGCTGTTTATTTTCCCCGTAAATGTCTTTTCGGGGAAGAGCAAAGAGATGAATATGGAACAAGCATGGTGTTACACTTTTGTGTGCGCATTGTATTTTCACTAGTTAGGGTGAATAGGTCAAAAACGCCCCCCTTAAGCGCGAAACCTTCTGACACTCAACCCAACACAGATTACTTAAACCTTTGGGCACCATCATGTAGCTCATTCTTTTTACTACGCTTTGAGACCAAGAAAAGACACCTGCGTGTGGTATTTAACCCCCCAAAAAGGTTTTTGCATGCCCTTACAAAAGGGCGTTTTGCCCCATACCCTGGGTAATACGCCCACACCCATGTGTAAAGCGCCCCCACCCCATCCATCAACAGAAAATGACGAACATGGCAGAACTTGACGTCATTCTGACGTCATTTGTGGTCAACCTATCATAGCCTTTGGAATAAAATTTTGTTGCAATGTGTAAAATGGATGCCCGGAGGAGTCCTGAAAGTTTGGTGACGATATTTGCAGTCGTTTAGGATATATCAGCAAAAAAGGACAGGGAGAGGCCTTTTCGGCCCCGACCTACAGGGCGCTACCCTGCACTCTCACCACCGTGCAAAACGCCCCCCTTTCAGAAAACTGGGGGCGTCTTGCCCCATGCATCGAGTAGGCGTCTTACCCCATCCACTCCATTTCCGGTCAACAAAATATTCGGACAAAAAACGCGCCACTAACGCCGCAGCATAATACGTTCAACAGAATGACAATAAAACGCAGTTTTGAGGGATGTGCACAATAGCAAGTTTTGTGATATAAAGAGGGCATCAAAATATTAGCAATCTTCTGTAAAAACAACAAAAACAACACCCAAAACCAACATCAGCACCTGCCACCTACCCACGCTGCTCTTCAAGACGCAGAACCGGAAATAGAGACCTACGTAAACAAGCAGCTGATTGTTCTGAAAGACAGGATAAAACACCTATCCGTCGATAAGAAATACGATTTTTTTAGGGGAGGCGTTTAACCCAGGGGTGCGTCTTCCCCACAGTTACCCTATATCCAGAAAATGTGATTCCATCCAGGTATTGTAGCTGCAGGACTCCACAATGCCAGACATTGAACACTCAACACAGTCATGACGGATAACCACATTCATGCATATGAATTGGTAATCAAAGGCAGTACAAATCTGTCAATATACCGAGATAGGCATCAATGCTGGAATGAAGATGTCGTATGGATATGCTGCGAAGAATACAGGTAAGACTGCATTCTTCATGCTATATAAATTCGTGATATTGCCACCAATGTTCACAACAAATTAAATTGCGGATTCATCGGCAAGCAACAATGCATGATCATTGAAATGTCGTATTTAGCTTATTACTATTCATTTGTACTGAAAAAAGCAAAAACGCCTGGGGTGCCCGGAACAAAGACCATCGCAAATGATACGCGATCGCCGATAGGAATTCGCTATTCAAATTTTTCGTGGCCTACACATTCGACGTACCTACTGCCGTTGAATGCCGGAAGCCCATCTAAAGGTATTTAGGCAATGCACGAGTGACATGCGGGAAACTGGCAGCAGCAAATGTTAGGACTTAGGAGACAAGTTTGAGTTTCCAATAAGCTCCTACTTAACTATCTGAGTATCTGAGGAGGAGCCTATCCTTGGCCCAAAATGGTAACCGGTTTTCTAGCTGCTAACAATGTTGTGACCGGAACACATATTTCCAAGCTTGTCAAAGTTTATTGGATTTTTATAAGCTTATTATGCTTATGTTCGCTTTTCAATGCTCAGCCGATTTGTAAGCACATTACTGCCTATATCAAGTGCATGTCAAGTGTGTTATATCAAATGCATTTTCGTCGGTTAGCTAGCGTTTGTCGTGACGATTACCCCCAAAAATGTTAATAATAATCATGATAAGTTAGTTGTTCATTAATTCATATGTGTGTTTGTTATTTACACGTATAAGTAATGCATTTAGGTTACCTGGATAAAATGGAACTCGAACAATGAACAACTGTGCTTTAGTTTTCCCTGAAACAACTTATACCTCAGGAGACCCCGTAACATAATCGGCAGATAAACCTAAGCTACACAAGCTAATCTGCTTTCGTGAGCGGCACGAAGCGAGAGGTCAATCTGAAGGATGGTCAGATTCGACAATCAGTTTCGAATCGGCCTGGGTACGCTGAAGGATCTTTGTCGTTAAGCTCCGCTTCATCCCTGCCCTCCAGTGAACCGACACTGCGCTCGACCTCAGCTCTCGGGCTAGTTAACTCCATCCTGAGCCGGCAGCGGCGGCGGCAGAGTGCCGAGTGCCCTTGAGTGCCGAGTGGCCACGGATTACCGGGCTTCGCTCGCGGCTCGCGCAGCTCTGCCGCTTAGTCGTGACGTGACATCACGGAATGGAGTTTGTTCACCGTATGGGTGGCCGGAGGTGAAAGACTCCCAAGCACAACTCGGCGTCGTAGCTGCGATTACAGGAGCGTGAAATCACGCAGGAAATCACTGGCGCTTTTAGAGGAAAACACCTGCGCTCTGCTACAGGTATTCTCTATATAAAAATGTTTTATTTTGTCATCCGTGCGTTTTTTTTTTTGTTTTTTTTTCAAGAAAACAGTTGGTACACCGCCATGGGAAATGCGGATGTTATGCGGGCTGGGTTTCTATGTGATTAATGGCTTATTTTTTCGTTAGCTTGCCACTTTCAAGCTACTAGAAGTTGAAATAAACGTTTACTTGACACTGATGGCTAGATTTTACATAAGCAAGGTTTTTGACATTTTTTCTCTGGAGTGGAGAAAAAAGAAACATCTTTTTAAAAGATTATGTCGAGCAAATAGTACAAATATTTTTTTCAGAACGCTGCGGACTCGGATGAGAGGTCATTTTATTGACCGGGTCCTGGCACTAGCGAATCCTGTTGCAAACACAGCCTTTCCGTTTTGTCGCCAGTGCATCTATTTACGTAATTATAGGGAAATACATCGAATTACTTTCAGTGTTATTTTTTCAGGGCCTTATTCATTCAGGGACCTTATATAGTTATCCATGGCTGTAACGCAGAGGGATTGGCTTAAGACGCATGTACCCTTATGATTTACTGCTATATCTAACTGCGTTGTTGTACTACGCCCGACCGGTTAAGGGTACATTACGAACTGCACTACCAACAACATTGATATGCGTGCTAGGCCGAGCACGGTACAGTACTTGTAGCAATGGGTTAATTGCTTGCAGTTTAGTTTCTTGTTTAATGCCAAAGGTGCAACAAGCTTGCATTTTGCAATAGATGCGTGAGTGAGTCGTGACTGCAAGTGCATTGCTGCAACGCACTTGGCAGTTATGCTGGAAAAGAAGTGGCTCCGCAAGTACAAGTTGTTAAATTGCGACAGATTCAACTGCATATTTTACATCTCAACGCAAACCTAATCAGGGTATAAACCTAATAACAAAACAGGCTGTAAAGGGCTTGTAGCCGTTGTAGCCAAACGTTCCTGCCTTAAGGATTGATGGTTGGCTTATTTTAAACGAGAAACAGATCATTGCAGTTTTGGATGAAATATATTGTTAGGATTTCTAACATCAATCCCACATTTTAATTTGATTAAATCAGATTCACAGGAAACATTCAATTTACTCTGCGGGGGCCAACCCTATTGCAGATGATCAGGCTTCAGACGAACGTCGTTAGATGGATAAATGCAATCTGTCTGAGCAGTGGCGTATCCAGGGGGGAGGCCAAGAGGCCATGGCCTCCCCCTTCGGCATCAAACATGCAAGTGGGCCCTTTGGGTGCAGTGACGTACCCAAGGGGGCCATGGGGGCCCTGAGGGGCGCCCTGGTTACCTGAGGGTCCCCCTGGTTACCTGAGTGACCCCTGGTTATCTGAGGGGCCCCATGGTTATCTGAGGGCCCCTGGGTATCTGAGGGGCCCCTGGTTATCTGAGGGGCCCCTGGTTATCTGAGGGGCCCCTGGTTATCTGAGGGGCCCTGGTTACCTGATTGGTGCCTGGTTATCTGAAGGACTCCTGGTTACCTGAGGGGCCCCTTGCTACGGGGGCCCTGGTTACCTGAGAAGTGAGGGGCCCTGGTTATCTGAGGGGCCCATGGTTACCTGAGGGGCCCCTGGTTTCCTGAGGGGCTCCTGATTACCTAAGGGGCCCGTGATTGCCTGAGAGCCCCTGATTTTCTGAGAGGTCTCTGGTTACCAGTGGGGCCTCTTGGTATATGAGGGGCCCCTGGTTATCTGAAGGGCCCTTGGCTACCTGAGTGGCCCCGCCCTCTAGTTATCTTAAGGGCCCCTAGCTACCTGAGGGGCCCCTGATTCCCTGGGTGACCCCTGGCCAGTGATCTGAAGAAGCCCTGGTCACCTGAAGGGCCCATGTTTACCCGGGGAGTACCTGCTTATATGAAGGGCCCGTGCAGTCACATAAAGACCCTTAGTTACCCGTGGAGCCCATGGTTTAACCGTCCCCTGTTTATCAGAGGGTCCCTGGTCACCTGGTGGGCCCCTGATCAATTAAAGACCCCTGGTCAATTGAAAGGCCCTGGTCAATTGAAAGGCCCCTGGTTACCTGAGAGGCCCCTGATTACCTGAACGGCCCGTGATCACTCGGATTCAATGGTATGGCCAGGGGCGAGGGGGCACGTGTCCGTTATAGGTTTTAGGGTCCACTCGGGCCCGAGAGGCCCTGCGGTTCCAATTGGCGGCAGAGGGCCCGCGCTGGCAACGCTTCAACTGGAAAGGAGACCACAGGACTTGTGAGAACACCCCATGGGCTCTTGTGTAGCCACACTTATCTCCAGAAGGGCCTCACGCCAGGTTCTGAGGGACCTTGCCGGCCCTGAGGACTCTTGCCGGCCAATAAGGGATCAGCTGTAAGGGCCCCTGCATACCCGTTTGCTATGGCCCCACGGCCCACACTGGTGTTTCTGAGGGCCCTCACAACGGCGCCTGCGAGGGCCTCCACTGCCACCTCTAAGGGCCCCACATCAGTGCCTCTTAAGGGCCTACTTCGGGCTTCGGCGGCTCTGAGAGCCCCACACCGGCGCCTCCGAGAGCCCTATGCATGGCGCATCTGACGGTCACTTACCAGCGACTCTGAGGGCCTCTTACTGACCTCTGAGGGTCCTTTGCCGGCATATTAAGGGCCACCAGTAACTAGATAGGCGTTATCACAAGTGTATTCGCGGCCATTGGGGCGACGTAAGAAAAGAAGAAAACAACTGGCCCCAAGAACTTTAAATTATCAGTTAGCATGCACGTTTTCCTTGATATGTAGAGAATTTACCATTAATTGTTAGAGAAAATTGCATTTAAAATCTTCCATTTATGTTGTTTTCATCATTTGCACAGTATGTTCTTCTACTAAGCTAGAAACACGAATTAGAAATAGTTCCCGGATCATCAAGAACAATAGGGAAGGCTTGAAGTGAATACAATAATCTAAACGGTTTTGTAATCCATGTGAAGACACTTCTAAAATTGCCTGTAGAAAAATTAAAGGCAAAAGTTCAACTTTTTCACAAGACGGATGGCTATAAACCTACATATTCAACGTGTGACAACTCAGCCGGTATATCGTCGCCTACAGCCCAGCTTTCCCTAGTGACCGATAGAGGCGCTGCTATCGATGTCCGCCCGTGCCGCCTAACGTCTCAGGGCCCCACACACGCCTAAGTGATGGCACCCACCAGTGTCTCTAAGCCCTAAGGCCCTCACAACGGCGCCTGTGAGGACACCACACCAGCGCATCTGATGGCCTTTCACCGACACCTCTGAAGGACTAACACAGGTGACTCTGAGGCGCTCGCTCGCTTCACTTCCTCATAATATACCGTGCATTTTATGCATGGTATCCAATGCATACTTCTCAAGCAAAAAATGATATTTTTACCTGCAAATTTTGCACATTTTCTCAGGGCTTAGACAGACAGACACACAGACAGACAGAAAAACAGACAGACAGAGTACAGACGGACTGAGGGGCCCGTTTGCAAGGGGGACTGGACCTACTGTGCCCAATCCCCTCATCGAAAGGTTCTGGATACGCCCCTGCCTGGGTTGACAGCGGCATCCGGGTGACCCGTGGGCCCCTTTGAGAGCAGGCGGCCCCCTCCTGGGCGAAATCCTGGGTACGTGCCTGCTTGAGTGTCCCAAGAGAAACGACCTTCAGGGGCCCATCCAAAGTACTGGCCCAAGCATAAATAAAGTCAAACTGCGTCAACCTATCTTAAAATGCCATTTGATGGCCCTCATAGGCCCTCAGAGGCCAAGGCTAGCGTGGGCCCTCAGAGGTCGCTTTGGCGGCCATAAAAAAAGCTTAGACTCGAGTGTGGGATCCTTTGACGCTGGTGTAGAGCCCTAAGGAGCCAGCGCTCAGCTCTCTAAGGCAAGCATGGGCCCTCTAACGCCATTGCGGGGTCTTCAAAGGCCAGTGTGGGGCCTTCTAAGGCCAGTGTGAGGCCGCCTTGTAAGGCCAGTGTGGGACCCTCTATGTCCAGCATGGGGCCGTCTATGTCCAGCGTGGGTCTTTTAGGCCCAGCGACATGGGGCTTCTTAGGTCAGATTGAGGTCCATTGGCCACCGAGACTAGCTTGGAGCCCTCTGAAGACAGTGTGGAGCCCTTTTAGGCCAGTGTGGGGCACTCTGTGACCAGCGTGAATCCTCTGAGGCCAGCGTGGGGCCATCTGTCATCTGACTTCCGACTTCAGAGACTGGTGCTGGGCCCTCAGAAGCCAGCGCGGGCTTCATAGGCTGGCGTCGGGCCATTAGAGGCTACCTCGAGGGCCTCGGCAACCACTTTTGAGAGCTGATGCATGTTTGGGCCCCCTGAGGAAGGAGTGGCCCTTAAAGGCCGGCGTGGAACCCTCAGGGGGCATCATGGGCTTCTAGAGACCGGCGTGGGTTCGAGAGCGGCATAGGGTCGTCAGACTGACTCAAAGACTCCTAAGAGCTAGCGGGGGGGGGGGGCTATGAGGTCAGCCATAGCATGGGTCTCCTCCTGAGGCCATTATGGGGCCCGGAGGCCAGCGTGGTTCACTCTGTTGCCGGTGTGGGGCTTTCAGAGGCCAGAATGAGCCTTCAGAGGTCGGAGTGAGGCCAATGTGGGCGACATAGAGCCATCAGAGTCAGGATCAGAGTTCAACCCGAGTCGGGCCCTTCTAAAGTTAAGGGTCCGCCCTCAACCAGCGCAAGACACTAAGCGATTGACATCTGCCCTTTGAACAGTGTTACAATCGTAAAAAAATTGACAAAACATTTTGCTTTTGATAATCTTTAGTGGCCCCGGCAACGATCAAAGCAAAAAAAAAAACTATATGCCTACAGCTGAAATAAATTGTACACTACATACAGAGCTATCGATATCGATGGCTTTTTCACGTTTTTCTTTTCTTTTTTAGATTGCCGAGTGTGCCTAAAAAGGCTCCCTCACATGGTGAAAGTGGCAAAGAACCGCACCTGGGCCGTCGGCGTGGGTTAAGTACGCCACTACTGGGGCCCCTAAGGTAAGGGTGGGGCCCTTGAGCAGGTTTGGCCTCCCCCTTTTCAAGATCCTGGATACGCCACTGTGTCTGAGCGTTGCAAATGAAAATAAAAATGCGCGCAAAAATTCATTCATGAATATATGATGAAGTGTAACCGGTGATTTGGGAATGTAGAATGTTCCAATGCAGGGAAATCGTGAAATAGTGTACGCCGTTTTAAAACGAATGTTCCTCTTTTTTGTCATTCCTCCTCTTTCTCGCTGAGAGCAATATATATGCTACCACAGATAACAGTAGTACTGTTATCTGTGGTGCTACCTAACTCAGATGCTGTGCTAGAATGAGCGATCATCTTCGTACTGTCTGCCGTTAAGAATAAATGATCAGTGAGTGGTAGCTGGTAACAGAAAATAACTTATGTATTGCTCTCCACCTATCTGCTCTTGCACGAACGTATGAATTTCAGGGAACGCAAAAGTTGTAATTAAATGTCTCGAAGCTCAGTGAAATAATCAATCAGCGACTTATGCCTGTACTAGAAATAAAACGTGCGGTAAGTATTGGTTTCATTGTACGCATTATAAATTTATTCAATCAAGAGGTATACATTATTGGTATATCCATCAGATATTTGTAATCATGAATATGCAAAACCACATCGAAGTCCACATCCCAATAGTGAATGGCGCCCGAGCCGCAATCTGTCTCGCCACGAGCCCCAAACCATTCCGATTGCATATTTCATCTACCGCCTCCACCCCCTCCCCCAACCCTCCCATCCTCCCACTGACATCCTCTCAGATCGTACCTGAGGCGCTGACGACCAGCAGAACCAGCACACACTTCCACATGTCGACACCTGTAGGCACCACTCTGTCCGCCTCTGAACCTCACTCGGTGTGTACCGGGACGCTGCGGGCGGAGGAGAGGTGTGTGCCGGGCCGCCGCCGAGTCGGTGCGAGCAGTGCCAACTGGCTGCCTGCCGCGCCGGCGACGGCTGAGTGCCGACGGCAGCTGCCGGGGAGGGGAGAGGGGGGGGGGTGAAACGTCCCGGCCACGGAGCGTATAGTGCAGCGGCAGCTCGCCCACGCAAGGCATGACGTGGTCGGGGCTGGAAGGCGTGCCCGACTGACTGGTGGAGTCAGGGTCACCGAGCCCACTGCACAGAGCGAGCTGTTTCCTGAGTTTTGGAAACGAGTTGACATTGTTGTGAAGTGTGTTGCACGCTAATTTTTGCTGCAATCAGCTCTGCTTACTCGTGCAAAGAGACCATTTCCTCTCACAAGCGACCAGACTCATGGCATTCCTGATTCTTCCCATTGATAATATTTATGTCAGTAAATGAACAGTGAACTGTCGCGATTAATGTTTTGTTTTGAGAAATATCCACAAAAAGCACCAGCTGATCCCTTTAGATGGCAGTTAGGCCATTCATTCCAAGCGCAGAATCCGAAGTTAATGAAATTGTGAATTATTCCTAACAAAAAAGTTTTAAATAATTTTTATTTTTATTTCATTTAATTAAAATGTTTGATTAAATTTAATTCAACTAAACTTGAATTAAACTGGACGGGCGGCGCATGAAGAAATGAAATCCGAGTTTTGGCAATCGGAGCAGCTTTTTGAACAATGTGACGCCCGCAATATCTCAAATCACCTTTTTATGGAGCAGCCAATGAAGTAAAAATGGATGCTCCATATAGGCGCGGGACCCGGGGGAGGGGGGCAGCCTGGTCGTAGCCTGCCCCCCATAACGGTGCGGGCCGTGGAGGCGCTGCCCCCACAACTTTTCGTAGGGCCAGAAACCGTCGTGGGAGCTTGCCTTCCGTAGATTAGCGGTTGTGGATCACAAGGAAAACTGAATAGATGGTAACATTCAAGTAAATAAAGCCGTCTTTACCTAGTTTGACAGCTCATGTGAAAGATTTAAACCTTGTTTTCTAGGTCCCCAAAAAGGTAGTTCCTTTCCATATTTGCTTCTATTCTGTTGTGTCATGATACATCACATCGCAAGTTCTCCATGAGGTTAATAGATTAAAAAAAAAACTTACGTGAATAGCCGTCTAATGTCATCCTTTCAACAGGTATTTTCTTGTTTCATGTAACCATACGTCACAGTCTGTAAGGATAACCAGCCGTAAAGATAAATGCAATTTCGTCCGTCACGGCAGATAACTCACTAAATGGGAGAATCGAAAAAAGCATTTTGATTAAGGTTAGTTAGCGTTATGCTGGTCGCAAAATCATCAGAACAATCGCAACGACAAAAGACACTATTTATGCTTCCAAATAATCATTCAGCGCATGAAGTGACAATTTCCAACAATTCAATATCCAAAACGCATGTCTGAGCCAGGACTCACCGATCGGCCGCTCGGTGTCCGCCGACCTTCCAGGGGATGATGACGTCAGTGGGACGTGAACCGTGCATTAGTGGTTCCCATGTCGGCGGCCAGTGAGGTGAGGTCACCATGACCGCCCACGTGGTGATCAGGCCGAACCCACGCAGACCGACGGAGCGGCACATCGCGGACGGATGACGGAAGAGCAACTTTTCGACGCGGCTGACGGGAGAGCACCTCTGCAGATGGATAACGGAAGACGAAGCAGGAGAGTGGCGCAGAGGGAATAAACACTGTCAATAGCGGGATTGAGTAGAAAGGGAAATGTTTGGAGATGTCCTGTTTTATGTTAATTTACTGATCGTTCTTTTGGCAACGCGTGAAATCCACATATAACCCTATTGCTGGTGGGGGGGGGGGCAAATCGGCCCCCCTAAGGTTTAATGAAAATCGGTAAAAAGAAAGAAAGAAAGAAAGAAAGAAAGAAAGAAGTAAAGCATTCTTAGTGAAGAGATGTAAAACGTGTTTTTTCGATTTTTATTTTTGCTTTCAGGACCCCCAATTTTGATTTCTTTTTTACTTTTTATAGTCAAGCTGGAAGTTAACGATAAGAGCAATCGAATGGCGTTTGTCCCATTAAGCGTATAGGTGTCGAGATATCAAGGGGCCCGAATCGGCCCCCTTCCACCAGTTAACGTAGTCCAGAAAGCCCACCAGTAAGAGTTAAAACGCATGCATGAACGTACGTCGCAAAAACGAACTAAACTCCAGCGGATACAAGTTTGCAAGGTTTGGACTTGCGTATGTGACGCTAGTCTATGTAGAATGTAGTTTGTAGATGCTACTTTGTGCTGAAGAGACCAACTTGTTGATCAGTCTGAAAGCAGTTTATCAACAGACTTCATCGACGATTACCAGATGTCGATGGAATCTTGAAAGTTGAGACAGACGGTCTCATGTAGCATAGTAAAGGAAGAGGAACAGAATAGGCATGCTTTACTATTGGCTTCATTGATTTGACGTTTATCCTGACGAGCTCGAGAGAAGTGGTAATCCCTTCTGTGGTGGGCATTACAGCATTAGGGTAGGGATGACTCGCCGTTGCTGTCTTTTGTGGATTAGGAGTCGAGTTTGGTCATTGCGTGGCACGATCAGATAAAATTTAATGTCGCGGTAAACCGCACATGTTTTATTTTAGGCACTATGAAGGTCGACTGTTACGACTGTTCCAGCCACCTTTGTCGAGTGACTATAATGTTAATAGGGCAGTGCTGCCATCTGTAGCAGGAGGTTACAAAAAGAACATTCCCGCCATGAAGACCAGGATGTCACATCAAAATATATTAACATGTGTGCTACAAAACGCTTGACCCAGGACGCGAAATATGTCTAAGTTCCTGAGCTAACGCTAGACTTCCTATACCTAGCGCTCGAAATACCCGCGCCTTGGTCGCGGTGACCATGGCTGGGGATTAAAGTTTCCTCGTTTATCTCTTAGATGTTTGACAGATGAACATTTGAGGTGCAGCTGCACACAAAAATGCCGATGTAAATGTCACAGGCAAATGGGAGGGCTGCAAATCATCCAAGGACGCAAAAAGCCTTTATCTATTAACCCGCGCCCTGCTGGGGGGGGGGTGTTTGAACACCCCCCTTGTGGTTTTTCGCAAATATTTCAAAAACGGCGGCGCGGAGCGCCGCCGTTTTTGGTACACCTTATCATACATCAATTCTACACATTTTGTGAAAATTTCAGACCAAGGTCATTCAAGGTCAGGTCACCAGGTCACTTGCAGTGACCTCACCTCATAAAAAGTTTCAATGTCTGTCATAGCTACACCGAGTGACCGATCGCTTTGAAACTTTCAGCGATTGCTAAGAGCAATAGCATGTACAAAATGCATATCTTAGAATTTGGATATCGATGACCTAAGGTCAGGTCAATTTTGCGACCTCCCCATTATAAGTCAATGGGAGAAAATTGAAATGCGCCTCTTTTGGACGAAAGACATTATAAACACTCCCAAACACTGAATTACAAGTGGTTTAGACACACTGAACATGAAAATGGTGTCCGTGACCCCTGTTTATGCCCTGAGGTCATCTTAGGTCACGAATGGTATCTAACAGTTTTTTCGCAAATAACTTTTGATAGAGGCATGCTAGAGCGATGAAAACGCCTTAGATGTGTTCAGCTCGACGATACGGATCGACTGATATGCAACATGACCCTTTCCGGTCAGGTCATGACCTTGACCTAAGGTCAAATTTTCAAGTTGACCTTTTAAGGTCAAGTTATAGTTCATTCGATGCGTCTTGACGAGAGGAACACGATGCCGGTAAAAGTAAGCTCGTACAATGCTTGGGTCAAAAGTTATTGCAGAAAAACTGTTTCCGAAAAAATCGGCTATTTTTGCAGTTTTTGCCCCCTGCAGGCAAAACCGTTGACGTTAGGTCAAATCTGAGAAAATTACTCAGAAAGGGCGTTAATAGGGCTATCGAATGAGCTTTTCCGCGGCGCTGTAGCTCTATGGGTTCCCGAGTTATGCGTTGACTTCTTGGAAATTTTCGACATTCGACCTGGAAATCGGCGAAATTTTGCCTTCAATGACCTCTGGTGACCTGACCTTTGACCTGACCAAAAAATTGACCGAAGTGATTTCCTCCTTATTTTTGACGCTCTTTCGAACGCCGCCTTCCGCGTATCGCTACGTGGCCCAGGAGCCGAGTTAGAAGGGGGTGTTCAAACACCCCCCCCCCCCCCAGCAGGGCGTGGAAATCCAGGACCCCCAGCCGGGCGCGGGTTAACTAGATTTCTGCTGAAATGCTTAGCTGGTCAACAGAGCCCCAAGCTTGCGTCTTTCGATTCCGCGAACTAAAAAAAATCTCTTAACGTGTTTACCACGGATAAAGGCAAGCAAAGATTACGGCATTTATTGGCTCTTGCGAAAATTCAGACTGGTGTGGTGTGTACACGTTTCCTTTCAAAAATTTATATTTTCCCGATAAAAATATTAGGGGGCCAGCTTCGAGGCCTAGTCATGTATGAACGTACAGACACCTACACACTCGTCCGACATCTGCACGTCCCACATCCTGACCTCAGGACCGACAACCGCATCCAACACTTCGTGACTGTCCGCTGCTGCAGACGCGACGTAACCACGAGCAGTTAAAAGCTTATTGCCTCATGAATTCCGCGGTTATCGCCATAAACTGAGAAGAACGTTCTGTTAGGCCCGCCTACATAGAGCTCACAGCTCGAGGCTATTGGCAGCTTCGAATGGAGGACGGTCGTATTCAGTGATCCCGGGCGGGAGCACGGAACAACAAGCCCGTTGTTGTGGGGAGCGTGCGTGCAGGCCAATACACAACATCAGGCGATACGATGGTGTACGAGTATGTGTGAGTTGTTCCGTGTCAGCCAGCTTGCAGTTCCACCATAGCAAACAGTGCATGGTTATCGAATCACTAGCCACAATAGCCAATGGTTTCTTTCCCTACCGTGCACAGGTTCAGCTGATAATTCACATCTCTTCCGTAGGTTTTGCCGTAAATCATCGGCACATTCACCAGTTTTAAACAAGCAAGCTCAGACAAATCAGAAATCTAGTGCCATCGCCTGCCGATGCGCCACATTATTGATAGCCATCTCGGGAGCACTGGCCACCCAGCACCGCACAAAACTATCCACAGACTCGCTCTGACACCGCTCCAGAACATCCATCTGCTGGTTGGCTCCGTACTGATCACCGGCCTCATCCCTCCGCCTGACCGCCTCTCTGACTGCCGGCAGGTTCAGCGTCTCACTACTGGCCTGCCCCGTCTTCCTCAGCGTGCAGGCTGCGAGAGCCTCCAGATGTTGTAGCAGTTGCGGGCACAGGTCGGTGCGAGCCGTGCCGCCCTCCTCGGGTATCAGTCTCATGGCGGCTACCTCTGCCGGACAGAGACGCGTGGCCTTCGATCGGCGGTACCCCGGGATGGTCTCAGAGAGCCGAGCAGGAGTGTAGAACTGTGTACTGAGGCAGATCTGACCGGTCTTGGTGGCGCAGTCGAGCATCATCCTCTGACGGAGGCAGGTGAGAAGGAAGACCCCCTGCTGGGCTGCGGTGAGGGAGGCATCCACGACAGCCCTGCAGCGAGCCGAGGCGGTCTTCCAGCGACTGATGAAGCTGGTGTTGCCCGGCAGGGAGTCCAGGAAGGCGTCCACCTTGTCGTAGCTGATGCCGGAGTTATGGACGATACCCAGTCTGTCAGAAAGAAAAGATGTTTTGACCACTAAAACATTGCTTTGAATTCATTTGGCCGCTGCCGTTCGTTTGGTGCATTTTCCCTTCCCTTCCCCTAAAACAATTGAGCATAAGTCATTGTACAGACATTGAGTGTAAAGCGGATGATGGACATTGAACATAACAAATAAAAATCGAATAAAACATTACAAGAAACAGCGTTATCAAGTACGGTAATTGGCTCTCGTACTGCCGGCGACGACTCACTTTTCTGCCAGGCAGTGCAGGTAAAGTGCCCGGTCGTGGCTGAAGTTGTCAGGTCGGAGCGGCCGACCGGCAGCATCTACCCCAGACTCTCGGCGGCACGTGATGGCCCTCACCCAAAGCAGCGGCGGGAGGTGCTGCTCAAACTGCTCCGGTAGGCACCCAGCCTCCTCCCAGCGAACCAGGTCGAAAAAGTGCACCTGACCGAACGCTGAAACACCGCCTGCGAAGGGCCGCTCGGTAAATGATAATTGATGCTGCCGACAATGACATCACAAGCAATCTTCAGACAAAAAATTAAATGCATTCCAGGGATAAAATTATAAGCGACTACAAATACTAAATTACCTTGGCAAAATATACGCTAAATGCATAGCTAAGCAAACATTGGTAGGTTTTGTGTTGGTCCTCATATCAATCTATATCAAATGCCAGTCCAAACGACAGCTCACGTACTGCGCAGAGCTGCAATCACACCTGCCACGAGCACCACCAGACAGCCGCCTGGGCAGCTCCTGAGAACAGTCATGGTGCCACACTGAGCACATGCACCACTCCGACATCGACCCCTTTTATCAGAGCACACGGCAGACCGTGCGGCAGAGGACGTGCATTATGGCCGCCTGCGAACGGCGCCATGCTATACAACAGGTCGGGTCGTGCTTTCGGGCGCCATTACCTCATGGGGGAGAACGTATGGTCAGGCCGCACCTCAGACCAAAGGTGCGATCGATCACGAACAGAAATGCATAGTTGGTAAACAATGCTCAGGTAGGATTGTGCTACTTGAGACTTGCACGTTCCCCAACTCGCGTTCAAAATTATTTTAAAGCTGTGATCCCCGATTCGGGTGGCTTGTTTTGTTACTTACTCCAGAGCGATACATTAGGATAACAGGACATTAACGATATCAATATAACATGCCATATTCATTGTTTTCTTCGAGATCATTGTTATGTAATAATTTGCAACAACAGCTTTTTACAATGCGAGCTTTGTTTATTTATCGCCCAATTGAACTACCTACGCGACAGTATGATAGTGTGTTTCCTTTTTTTTCCTTCCTTTTTTTCCTTTTTCCTTTCCTTTTTTTTAGAGTGAGCTTTTAATTTTTCATAAGCGGCAACTTGTTTCCTCTTCGTTCAACTCATAAGCTCGTTTACAACTCAAGTAGTCTAGATGAAAGTTGAGATATTTTGTTTCATTTGCTTTGTCCGTCTGGTTTTCTCAACAGTTTCAGGACCGTAGGATGGGCGGGTAAATAAATGGAGACATTGGATTACTTTGGCCACCGACTGACGTGTCGCACGGACTGATGACTGAGCCCGTCCCGAGTCAAGGACCGCCTCGCCCCGATGGAACAGGCCGCCCAACCGCTTGGAACGATCCCGCCGGCGAGAATCCATTGAGCAGGCAGGGTCTATCCTGTACTGGTTGCCTGGGACTGGAAGGGGTGGTCATCAGTCCGGAGCAAGGAAATATGGACAAGAATCACGATGGACTGTGTATTTTGTTTGTTTGTTTTGTTGGGTTAGGCCCTTTCGGTCGACAAGACCATTGCAGAGCCGGAAGGATGATAGGATTTAGGGGGAGACATTGGTCTGGGCAGGCACCCTAGTGAGTCGCCGGGGCTGAGCCCGTCCGGAGGACAGGCCACCCAGCCCCAAGGCATTCACTGCACCCGGCTACGGGGTGCGCTCCCTCAGGAGCAGCGGTGCCGCTCCAAGGGAGCAGTCCGCATGAGATAAAGATGCCTGTCCAGCCCGGAGGGGGGTTGCGGCGTGGAGGAGAAGGATTTCAGTATCCTGAGGATAGAAGCATGGAAAGGTGACTGTGTATGAGGATGAGCAAAATTCATTCAAAGCAGGACAGGAGTCGGGAGGCAGCACCGTCCTCTTTTTAAGTGAGGTTTATTGCGCAGGAATTGCGCTGGGCAAGCATGTTCCTAGGCTGACACCAAACAACTACAGCAGCAGACTCAACAGTGACATTGTATTGCTCTGCACGCTGCGCCACTCCCCACCTGGCTCCTTTGGAGTGACGATAAACCGTTCCGAGGCCAGAAGCAGCGGTCTGGATAGCCGGTCTGGACCTCGACAAACAGCGCCACCTGTAGCGACTGGCACGGCGACGACAGCGCGGCGCGGCGCTGCAGACTGCGGACACCCGATCTGTACCCGGACCTCGACAGATAGCGCCACCTGCAGAGGTCAGAACGGCGACGCGACGGCAGCGCAGTCATGCGACCGACGACTCTAAAAGCCTGGTCCGCACCGCAACGCACAGCTGGATCCTGGCCGGCTCTGGCAATTCACTTCCGACTTAAAAAGGATTGAGAGCTGTCTGAAAGTAGCTACCTTTATCTTTTTGGCCCCCCTGAGACCAAGCGATTGATCTTAATTCGCATCTGAAATCGTATTCTCAAACGAGCCTAACCTTTGATTCAAGCCGGATCTTTTGACACCAACCACATTTTCAGGTCAGGTCAGGTCACTGACCTATGGCATCATAAGTGAACCTCTGCACGGTCTCCAGATGTCGCAACTTCGCAACGCCCTCAGTGCTAGAGGAGCTTTCACAGGGACATGAAATTTACAGGAACTAGTATCCATTAGAGGTTGCACACCTTTATATCTCGGATTTTTCCTAAAGGTCACATGAGGCCAGATCGGTCACGTGACCTCATCATTAGGTATGTACAAGTAAATTGGGAGAAATGAAAACTGCTATTTTGGTGCCGGGAACGATCTCGAACATCTAAACCACATGTGATTTCATGCACTTCTTGCAAGTTTTGATGCTTCCCTTTTGCATTGTTGACCTTGCGTGACGTCATGTATGACGTCACTAGGGTCACTAGAATTTTTCGTCAATAACTCCTGATCAAATTAAGCTAGCGAGTCGCAAAAGCCACCAATGGACTCGGGAAGGGACCTACCGAATCTATATGCGACATGACCTCCTTCGACCAATTTCGTGACCTGGGGGGCTCTGACCTGACTGTGACCCGAGGTCAACACCTCAAGTTGACCTCACTCAAACAAAAAGTATATCATTCGACGCGCCTGAGCAAGGCGAGCACGATGATGCGAAAATCGCGGCTCTGTGGCCATTTTTGCGAAGTTATTTGCCAAAAACCGAACCCTTACCTTGGGCCACTTGACCTGACCTCAGAGGTCACCGGTTGAATTAGGACCTTAGAACCGGGTGTCAATCTCTGCGTCTCGTAACGGCGCACACGCTCGTTTTTTCCGCGATGCACTAGCTTCATCAGGGGCGAAATGGCGAAGGGGGTCGTACCCGCCCCCTCCCTTGGCCGGCGCGTATGTAGAAAACCAATAGATCCGACGAGGGTTATCTACATAATCCGTACAAGGACTGACGTTGATCACTGGCCAGTTCGGGCAGAAGGAAACAATGACCTCTGGAGCGGCTCGAACCGGATAAATACCGATCAGCTCAGGGATCTATGTTCACCTACCGTAAGATCTACCGGTGCCGGGTAGTTAGGTAAGTTCTTAGATACGCGGTAAATTACAAGTATTTTCATCATCCAGGGTGCATCGACCCCGGCATTCTTTCAAAATAACTAGGTATTACGACCACAACCGAGTAAATCCGGAACCACCGTTGAACTATTAAAAAAAAATAAGCCGTACGTTTAACCTGTACTCATGGAAAACATTAAAAAGTGCCTACACTTACACAATACGCATACCTATGCTTTCTGTTAAGTTGTAACGCGGCCTGTCACCAGAAACATCTTGAAAGCTCGCTCAAAAAAGCGTGCACAAACTACAGGTATCTCTCACCACTGCCTTTTCTGACCTCACGTGCGGACGTCACGTGCAGCCGGTCTTTCCGTGACGTCATCCACCTGCCCGAGTGACGTCACTCGGGCAGGTGAGCACTCGCGGCGGCCAGTCTCGGCGCGCTTTGCCAGTCGCCGCACGGAGCTCGGAGTGACGCGCGCCGGCTGCAGGAGGGTCGGACGGTGGACGAGCGGACGCCGGGCGCAGAGGCCGAGGGACATCAGTGACCTCCAGCAGCAGCTCGGTCGACGCGGCGGCCCGTACGCCCGACTCCGGCCCCCCGACTGAGCGAGGGCAGCGTCCAGGACCGGTTGGCACTGAAGGACCGACAGACGACGCACCATGGGCCTCGACGACAGCAAGGTCAGTCGCCAACGCATCGTCCCGCCCCCCCCCCCCCCCAGATGATAGGGGCTAGAGAATGGAAGAACTCATTCTTAACGTATTCCTAGCTAATTAGTCTGAGCTGGTGTCTCTTTGCTGCCCGGTAGTTCAAGTTATGCAAAGAGCCAATTTTTCGGGAAACGATCAAAGTAATCGAAGACTTTTTTGTTTGCCCTGGAATGATAGCACTGGCTGGATACAAAAAACGACTATAATTTTGTTTGATCACGCAAATCACCTTTAAAACTTCCCACAATGGAGAGCAACACCATGGCGCAGGAAGCAATTCGCGGCTTTTCCCACGCTACTAATAAGTGCCTACATTATTTCATGAAACATAAGGTTGTGGAAATTACAACGCTTTAGATAAGACAAGCAAGATAAGACGCTGCTTTTCTTATTCTTCGCGCTATGTCTCGTTGCAGAATGTTTCACGCTGGCGCTTCCTTCGCTTACACCAGTCGGGGAAACTGTGGTCAAATCTTCCATTTTTAGAAAGCCTTCCATTTTTGGAAGGATTTTCTATATATGGGTACGCACCTTCCAAAAATGGGTACGCTGACGACGTCATCGTACCCAAATATAGAAAATGTTGCGCATATGTTGGAACTTACCGATTTCCGCCGAATATGAGGCAAATGCGACTATCGCCCCTGGTCGCTTTCTATTCGCCATAGTGAAGTGTCCATAATCTAGCGTGGATGCCTAAATCCTAGCGTGGATGTATTTTAGGTAATTTTTCAAAGTAATGAGTCGTGGAAAATTGACAAAAATTTACCGACAAACGATGGTTTTATAAGACTTTATCAAACATTTTGTAAGCAAAAAGCATCAAAAACGAAAAGTAAATATCCTTAAAAGTACTTTAGTGACGGGCCATGCTTGTTCGATACCGCCGACTTTATTTACAGTGCGGAATTGTCTGGACAGAGTGCGGCGGTTTCGGGAGTGTAGTGGCGAGTAAAACTTGTATTTGTTGCCGTTTTCTGCATTTATTAGCATATTGTGTGGTTGATTTCAATTTTTTAAGGCTTTTGCCAAACATTTGGGTGGAGGTCTCGTCATTTTTCAATGTTTTTTTTTCCGGAATATGGGACGAATTAAATAGGCGTTGCTGCGCCGTTTTTCGTGTTACTTTCTATCGAAGGAGCATGAATCTTCAATTTATATGAGGAATAGTAAGTTTAATTTAAACCATTTTTTGTCAGGGCTATAGCTGTGTTCCTCCTGGTTGGTTATTGACCAGCTGTTTTCTCTTCTGAATTTCTATGTGTCCTCTAGAAGTAGTAAAAGAGAGCAGTGCGCCAGGACACCATGCTATTATATCACTATGTACATTGACATAGCATGCCTGTATTACCAACACTAGCACTGCTGCTTCTCCTTATATCAATGATCATAAATGGCAAAATCAACTATTAATGTTACACATTTAAAAAGGCCGTAACTTAAATCAAAGAATGTGAATCACAGTTGGGAACACTGAGATTAGACCTTCCAATTTTGGAAGCCTTCCATTTTTGGAAAATGCATACCCATTTATGGAAGGTCCTTCCAAAAATGGAAGGCTTCCAAAAATAGAAGATTTGACCACAGTTTCCCCCACTGACACACAACAGAACACAATCATCTTTTGACCAGTCTTTTTGGGAGGTCAAACTTTGATCATAAAGGACGCTCATCAACAAATAATGTATCATATGATACTTTTATTGTAAGTATTTGATATGCAAATTGCAAAATTGGTTTCGAATAATATTTTCTTCCGGCTGAAAGTAATTAGAAGGCAAATCTTTCCGTATGCCGTATGTGCATGCGGAATGCAGATGCATGAAAACTCATAACACACTTCGCTCTAACAAATTTACACCTGCCATGCATTTTCGAAAATAATAAACTGTCCAATTAATTAACCTCTTTTGTAGACGTTGCCGTGCATCCACTCCCACATTTCAAAGCTAGCGTCCTTCGAAAGGCAGCAAGTTAAACTGGGGTATCATGATCAGCTTGTTTAGCCCTTCGAACCAGTCTGGCTTAAGGCGAATTTCGTGCTGTGCACTCGGCATTTTAAGGGGCATCACGCAAGCATCACGTAAGATATTTATGCTGCATATGGTTTATTGAACCAGTAAAACGCCTTTGGGCGAAGAACGAGCGAGCGAGATAGTGAGCCCTGCACGTGCAGAACGGCGAGAGGGTACTTCCAACGGGCTTGTGCAAAGCACCCTTCTAACCGGTCGCTAGCGGTGTACCAAATTTGAACGCAATCGGCCCAGCCGTTCCTGAGATCTGGAAGCGGCATTCTGCACGTGCGCACGTGCAAACGGGGTCCAAAATGACTTTTGCACGGCACCCTACTAACCGGTCCCCAACCGTGTACCAAATTTGAGCGCAATCGGCCCAGCCGTTCTCGAGATCTGGAAACGCCCCCTGCACGTGCGCACGTGCAGTAGCACCCTAACCGCAACACATGGGAATGCATTGCCTGGTGGGTGCCTACCTGTATGCCAAGTTTCAGCGAAATCGCCCCAGTAATTACCGAGTTACTGAAATGGGAACAAATTTGGCACCTCTTATTGTTGTATTTTGCACGTGCAGTGGGGGTCACTCACATAGATGAAGAGTATCCGACCTTTGGTAGAAGGGATGCAGCTACCCTATAAAAATGACCGCAAGACAATCGCTCAAGCCGCTGCTGAGCTATGGGCCTCTCAAAATCATTACTTTTGCAAAACTGCTTGAACACCCTTGACTTTTCACGTGGCACGTGCCACGGCGGTCACTGAGATGTATCAAAAGTAGTCAATTACGGGGTGGAAGGGATGGGGCTACCCAGCAAAAAAGACCGCAGGCCAATCGGTCCAGCGGTTGCTGAGATATAAGCCTCTCAAAAGCGTTACAGGCCGGGCCGGGCCGGGCCGGGCCGCTCATACTGAGATTTTTCCGTTATATTGAAAAGACTCACTTCGCTCGCTGCGCTCGCTCGCTCGTAATAACTCTTCTGGCAAAAACCACATTTTGTGTCGATCTATGTATATGAAGGCTAAAATGATTATATAAACGGACTTTTGTAACATAATAATGCGGGTAAGCCCTTTTTTGTGTGAGTAAGGTTGGACCATATCTGAACCTGTCATGATGCATCTGTGCATAGCGAATTATTTTTCTACTCATAGGACAGTCCATGTCACGTACTTTTTACCACTTTCTCCAATCACAGACATACACGAAATTAGAGCGGCATTCAGGAATGCTTGGGGTGACTAGGGAACGCATTCCGTTTGTTCGAAGCAAGCGAAAAGGCCACTGACGCTGAATGCTAGGACTATAATAAATAGAACATATGTCTGAGTGTGGATTCGGAGAATTCAGTGCGTCCACTGGGTACTAACACCGGTATTTCGCGCAGCCGAGGGACGGCCGCTGCTCAGAACATGCTCGGCGACCCCAGCGTCGGCACAAAACGCTAACACCGGAGATAGGATACTGCAGGTGTTGCAGTCTCCGCGTGCACCTCAGCAAGCCGCACATCGTGTGGGGTCGGACTGAAATGCAGCATTACCCCGAGGAGTTCAGAGTTCAGTTCAGGCTTGCCTTGGGCTGGGCGCAAAATGACCTCAGTATAGTCGGCAAGCCCCTAAGCCCCGATTAACAAACAAGACTTGCCTTGTGCTACCAAAATTGTTGTGAATAATGCCACAATAGACCTCATGGTGTGGTGAATGCTATAGGAGGGAGGGCTGCAGAGAGGCGACTCGTCTTACAAAAAAAATAAGGCAAACCGAATGGTAACAGGTGGACGGGACAGATGGAGTTCCTGGGGTGGGCCGGACCTGTGGGCGGTCGTACCCTGTCGTCTGTCATCCCTCCGTGAATCACTGGGTCGCTCGCCCGCCCGAGAGCCGGCCCGTGCGGTGTGGGTCGCCGGCCCCGTGTCGCGCCGGGCCGAGGGTTTGCTCCGTCCACAACGGCCGACCGGACGCACACACACCACTTTCTCCGTACCGTGGCCCGAGGGAGCCGGCCGAACGGGAGAGAGCCGCGCCAGCCGCCCTTGGTTCGCGCTGTCCCCGGCCCCGCAGACCAGAGCGGCCGCGGAAATACGAGAGGAAAGCCGGGGATACGAGCGGACACCGGATAGAACAGAGCCTTGGTCACACAAGAAGTGGATCGCAACAGATCGCAATGATTAGCTTGTGTTTTACATGCTCTTTCGTGTGGTGAAGGGCCCAAGCATTTGCATTCACTTGCAAGTTGCAGAAACTTTGGTACGGCGTGTTGTTCGTCGATAGCACATTTTGCTATTAGGCCCAGCATCTGCCATTCCGTCGCCGTTCAGCTATCTCCGTGCGCTATTATCCCAACCTTTATCGAGCTCTGTCCGTGATCTAACGTCACCCAGCGTCCCTGAAGTCCCCCAATGTCACCTCCCATCATCCAGCGTTACCCGGTTGAGGTCACCAGTGAGCGGTAGGACCGCAGCCCTAGCCAGGGGCGACGCTCACCCTCCCCCTCCCCCTCCTCCCCCGCTGCCTCAACCAGTCGGCCGATAGATGACGAAAGGCCCAGCAGCCAGCACAGCCCGATCTCTGCTGTGACACAGAGCTGGGGGCGCAATGTTGGGCAACGGGCTACGTGCCGGCCGGCCAACCGCCCCCAGCTGAGTTCGAGTTATCATTATGGGATGAACGGGGTAGTGATGGAGACGATGGGGCAGGTGGTTCCAGCAGGCGGAAAGGTCAGGGCTACAGGTTCATTAACTTTATTTTGTTTATTATAATAATGTATATCACAGCTCATATATCTTCTTAAAAAGCTGTATCTTTTCTTTTTAAGCGCAATAGAACAGTCTCCCTTACTAACTATCATACCAATCGTTTTGGTTGTAATCTCTCCTCCCTTACCTCGCAGATTCAATTGTCCCACGATTAACACAATAACTTCTGAGAAAATCTAGAGCCGTTTGCGTATGCAAAACG